CATATGGGGAGCACAGGATTGATCCACCTGAATATGAATCTGCATCTTGGCTGAATCAGATAATGGGGAAAAGACTTCCTCTCCAGAGTGGCAATGCCATTCATGAGTGGTCAAATATTCTGCATGATTTAAGGCAGCTTCCTGTATCTGTTTAGGCCCAGATATTTCAGTAGCTGGCATAGAGATGGTGGATCTGCCTGCTTCTCAACTCTTCCTTATATGGAACTTTGTAATAGGTGATAAAAACATGTCTGTATTTATTTGTGTGTGATTCCCCTGGTATATTGATTAAACTGCAATATTGCAGCCAAAACTGCTCACAACCTGGGTTCAGTCATAGGTGGCCAACTTGAGGTTCAGTCAGCCTTCTATCCTTCTGAAGTCGGTAAATTGAGTATCCAGCTTGTTGGCGGGGGTGCAGTGTTCAGCTTGCATAATTAAATTACAAACTGCCCAGAGAGCACTTTAAGCATTGCGGGGCAATATATAAGCAGCATGCTTTGCTTTTATTTTAAAATCCAGAATCATTTAATGGGAAACAGTACAGTAGCTTTTAATGTTTCTTGTGTTCTGGGCAAACTATTGCTGAACTTTGGTTTGTTGATTGTTTTGACTCTTCTCTAGTGGATGCAGGCCATAGAGCTGTCATCTTTGATAGATTCAAGGGTGTTCAAGACATCGTAGTGGGAGAAGGCACACATTTTCTTATCCCCTGGGTACAGAAGCCAATAATCTTTGACTGCCGCTCTCGGCCACGCAATGTTCCAGTGATCACTGGAAGCAAAGGTGAGTAGGTGATGGATCCTGTAGCTTTGCAAGAGATTAGCAAAAATGTCTGGTTCTCAGTGCTAGTGATTCTAGCAATGACAGAACAACCTTTGCACACTAGATTATCCTAGAATCTTCTGGAGTAGGTTTCATTACATGCATCCAGGATTGCTACAGCCCATAGTTGGTAAAACTTGAGTCAAAGCAGGAGAAAGCAAAAACAAGTCGCTGTCATAGCGAATTATTATCCATGTTTAGTTGGTTTTTAGTTTTGTTTCCCTGGGTTCTAAATCTGCTGGGAACATGCAGAACTCAGATCTTACTGGGAAGAGGAATATATGCCCCTGCAGATGTCATGGGCCATAACTCATTATGCCTCTACATGGCTATATTGGTTCAAGAAATTAAGTATAACACCATAGTTTGCCCTGAACATTTGGTGGCTTTATTTTCCAGTGTTTTTTGGGGAGGGACCTTCAAAATGGCCTCAGAGGCTAGGTGCAGCCTGTGTACCATATGCTTTTTCTTCTACTAAGCCCAATCACCCCTCCATTGTTTCTTAGTGGCATTTGAGTAGGTTCATTTTTGATTTGCTGAGCTGAGTTCCTGCTGTAATCTGCCCTTCTTATCCACTTTGTAGATTTACAGAATGTCAACATTACACTGAGGATCTTGTACAGGCCAGTGACAATTCAGCTTCCCCGGATTTTCACCACGATCGGCGAGGACTATGATGAGAGAGTGTTGCCTTCTATCACAAATGAGATTCTTAAATCTGTGGTGGTAAGGACAATGCAATAGCTTCATTGGGTGTGGGGGTAATACCTAAGCCTCGCATTTTAACAGGGTTTGATGCTTGGCTTCTAACCTTTTTGTAAGCAACTGGTTTGGACTGGTTTACTACGCCCACCTAACCACCACTTGTAGCACCTGTCATTTCCTCTGTCCATCTGGTGCCTTTTTGGTTCCCTCCTTTTCCACTAGAGCTTCTATGCAGTTAGATTTTTGGCATTATGGATGTATCCTAGTTTGGTGGGTTGCAGTTAAACAGTGAACTGAGATTTTGGGAATGGGTTCGCTCTGGTCCTGGAGGCAGGTTATACAAAACCTAAACAAGCTCTTCTTTGGCCATCTCCCTCCTGGTTCTCTTCAAAGCTTACATTTCTCTTTAGAAATAAATCTCTAAAAGGCAGTAAAAGGAATGAATCAGTCTAGTGTGCTTTCCCAGAGGAGCCAGTGTAGTATTAATGGTTGGAGGGCTGGACAAGGATTTGGAAGACCCAGGTTACCATTAAGCTGTGAAACTCACTGGATACCTTTGGGCTACTCACATTCCCTCGGTCTTATCTACATCGGAGGACAATTGTGAGCAATCAGGGAAGATGGGATGTACTCAGACTTGAGTGCACTAGAGGAAAGGGGTGCTATAAAGGTAGCAGATTAATTTCATGCAGTTTTCATCAGAACAACTGGTATCATCTAGAGATGGGGTATTCGTATCTGAATACCCCTGTATAGCTGGACTCAATGAAGGGCCAGCCCCTGGGCCAGACCATCATCCACTCATGCATGTGGTGGCGGCAGCAGCAGCAGCAGCAGCTTCGGTCAGCCTTCCAATCACTTCCGGAGCCCCACTGTCTTTCCGCTCATCTAGTCAACTCCAGGCAGGGGAAGGGAGGGCGATTTTCTCTGCACGGCCGCCAAGTGGCAGGTCCCATCGGCCATAGCCAGTGATACGGCATGATGGGAGTTGCAGCTTTAGCAATATTGGAGGGGCAGGCACAAGTTTTGTCTTCCTGCATCAGTCAGCCAGCTGACTGGGAAGGCCATCATTGAGGCATGAAAGCATCATGCTGGTGTTTATCATCCAGCAAGAGGCATTGTCCTTGAGAGTCACATTTAGTTACCATGGCCAACAGATTAGTATTTGCCCTATGCCTCATCACAGCTAATCCACATCAATGTCTGTGCATATAGAATAAGCGGGGGAGGGGGTTTAAAAAAGGAGAAGATATTGCAGATCCATTCTCTTGTCTCATTAGAGCAGGAAAGAGAAGCCTTTGTTTTCTGTTTCAATTCCTAGAAGCCCAAGAGAGAAGCCTTTGACCATCCATGTTTTCTGTTTCAATTCCTAGAAGCCCAATAGGATTAGTGGTAAGGATTAGAAACTTACCACCCCATAAGGTGGACATGAAGGAATGCAGTTTGAAAATGTGGATTGACTAGTGGTAAGGATTAGAAACTTACTGCCCCATAAGGTGGAGATGAAGGAATGCAGTTTGAAAATGTGGATTTCATGTGCCAAAACCTGAATTGGAAGTTGCTGCTTAGGTATTACTTTGTTAGAATAACAACAACTTGCAGGGACCTTTAGATTAATTTATAAGAATACTTGAGATTGTCTCTTTATTGAAATCTACTTTATTTCTTTCTCAATGTTATTTGTCTTAATTTTGTTTTAGGCTCGTTTTGATGCTGGTGAGTTGATCACCCAGAGAGAGCTAGTTTCCAGGCAAGTTAGCGAAGACCTCACGGAAAGAGCAGCAACATTTGGACTCATCCTGGATGATGTTTCCTTGGTAATAATCACTCTGTGCTCCAGATGCTTTGCAGTTTACAGTTATAACCCCCTATATCTTTTTTTTGGACTGCATCCCCCAAAATCACCCATGTTGGTGAAGGCGTTCTTATCACCTGAATTTAAAGTAGATGCAACAGCAGTAATCACATGTTCCTCCCTTTTACCTCTGTCTCCAACCCCTGCTACCTTTCCTCTGTGGCTTTCCTTGTGTGTGTGTGTTTTTTTCTAGACTGTAAGTTCTTTGAGTTAGTAAGGACATCAGAACTATACTCCATGAAATGCTAGGTGCAGTGATGGCACTGATTAAGTAAAAAAAATCCAGCAGCCAAAGCCATGTATATTGTGTGCCTCTGATGCCTAAGTGAAAGCTGCACGTAAGCTGGGGACCCTGGTTGATAACTGGAACTGGTTGTGCTTCTCCATCTTTAATGCTGCTACCTGGTATCATCATAATAGTTTACAGACAGATTTTTAACGCCATCATTTTCCATTTAGACACATCTGACATTTATCTTTTTTTTTTTTTTGGACTGCAGCCCCCCAAATCACCCATGTTGGTGAAGGTGTTCTTATCAGCTGAATTTAAAGTAGATGCAACAGCAGTAATCACATGTTCCTCCCTTTTACCTCTGTCTCCAACCCCTGCTACCTTTCCTCTGTGGTTTTCCTTGTGTGTGTGTGCTTTTTTCTAGACTGTAAGTCCTTTGAGTTAGTAGGGACTTATCAGAAGTCCATACTCCATGAAGTGCTAGGTGCAGTGATGGCACTGATTAAGTAAAAAAATCCAGCAGCCAAAGCCATGTATATTGTGTGCCTCTGATGCCTAAGTGAAAGCTGCACGTAAGCTGGGGACCCTGGTTGATAACTGGAACTGGTTGTGCTTCTCCATCTTTAATGCTGCTACCTGGTATCATCATAATAGTTTACAGACAGATTTTTAACGCCATCATTTTCCATTTAGACACATCTGACATTTGGGAAAGAGTTCACGGAAGCTGTTGAAATGAAGCAAGTAGCCCAACAAGAAGCAGAAAGAGCCAGATTCATAGTGGAAAAGGTGAGGCTGATGTGCTTATTAATGGTCTTACTCTCAGCAGTAAGTCTGGAGGATTTTTTACATCCTTATCCAGGACTCCATTTGTCTCATGTTGCTCAGAATCATTTTTTCCTATTGTACTTCTTCTACTGTATGAATACTTTTGATCAGAGGAACACATGAAGAACATTGCTGAATTGCAAAGTAATCATTTGAAAAGTAACTATTTGGGACTGCCAAATTTTTGGAATCTAAAATAACTTTCAGTTATGTTGAATCAGACCATTAAGTCCATTTGGCCCAGAAAGTCTACAAGCTGGACAAGATGCCATAGCATCCTCCTGTTTGGGTCCCCACACCAACTGGTATTCAGAAACATACTGCCTTTGATTCTGGGGACAATATAAAGTCATGGAAACCAACACCAAGAGATAGCTTTATCCTTCATAAATTTGTCTAATCGATAAGCCTGTAAAATAGCCTGGATTGTGAATGATGGTAATTGCCTTGAGGTCAGTTATCCCACCTGAGGAGGTCTTTGTCATCCTTACCATATGCTCTAACCCATTAGTCCCCAACTTTGGACCTCCAAATGTTCCTGGACTTCAACTCCCAGAAATCCTGGCCAGCAGAGGTGGTGGTGAAGGTTTCTGGGAGTTGTAGTTCAATAACATCTGGAGGCCCAACGTTGAGGACCACTGCTCTAACCCAGTCTTGCGTTTGCCTAATTACACTGGTCCTTGGTAAAGCCAGGTTGTAGTCTTCATTGAGCCAGTGAAACCGTGGAGCAACCGTGGTCTAGTCGTTCCCTGTCAGCTTTACCCTGCTTCACAAAATTGTTGTGCAGAGAAAGTGGAAGAGCTCGTTGAAGAGAAGATGAGATACAAATTTAAGTATCTGCATAACAAACAGAAGAATACACATAATTCACCAAGTACCAAAAAATAAACTTAAAAATGTTATGCCCGTAATTTTGGATTATCAATAGAATCAATGGGGATTTAGAAGCAAATGTTGCAGTATATTCTCATTTCTTGGGATTACTCCTGTTAAGGACTCCAGGCAGTCCATTCCATCTCTCCTTTCCTACTTTTTCTCTTCATTTTTTTCTTGTCCTTTAGACACTCAAAGCACTGTGGGTGCTTAACACAAAATGGTTCTCATTGGGTTATTTTTAAAGAGAGAAGTTGCCCCTTTTGGTGTGTGCCAAAAAAAAAACTTCTGCAGATTTTGATACCTACCCCAAGCAATCTGCTTCCCCCTTCATTTTCTCAGTCTCCCCATTTTGGCTACAGAATTTGTAATTACCGGGGGCAGATGAGCTGATGACTGGCACTGTGAAGAAAAATTGCATGTGTTCATTATCCTTTTCCACTCATCCACAGGCGGAGCAGCAAAAGAAAGCTGCTATCATCTCAGCGGAGGGGGACTCAAAGGCAGCTGAGCTGATCGCCAATTCGCTGGCTTCAGTGGGCGATGGCCTCATTGAATTGCGCAAACTGGAAGCTGCTGAAGACATCGCTTACCAGCTCTCACGGTCCCGCAACATCACCTACCTGCCATCAGGACAGTCAGTGTTGCTCCAGCTACCCCAATGAGTGTCCTTTCTGCCTGGAATCTCCCCTTTTTTCTATAATTCCCTTGAAAAATAACAAATTAGCCCAAAGTAATCAGTGAGATTTTCCAATTTTGGGCTGAGAGTACAGAAACTGAAATGGATTGAAAACCACGGGGTCTAATAAAGGCAATTAATCTCTCTTCCCTCTGGAATATTACTTTTAGTTAATCAGGTACTCAGGACAAAAACTTTAGAGGAATAAAAGATTGGTAACCTAAGATGGGCATTTTCCATCCTGGCTAATTTAACAGTACATCCTCTGGAGAAAATATCTGTTCCGGGTCTTGCCTTATCTGTTCATTTTGAGCCAGGATAGGCAGAGTATGCCCTCCAGATGCTATTAGACTTAAACTCCTATCCACACGCCGCCCCCCCCCCCAACCAGCATAGTCAGTGATGAGGAACCCTCGGGGTTGCAGTCCAGCAACATCTTGAGAGGGGAATTATATTTTACACATTCATCCATATCCTCAATGCTAAGCCAGCTTTAGTGTCCTGCTGTCTAGAGGAAGGAAAGGAGCATATTTTCCTAAGCTGCTTCCTTTCTGCCAAATTTAACATCGCAAAAGCCAACATCAAAAGTGATCTTCCCCAAATTCCCTCCTCCACAGTAATGCTTGCAAGTTGAACCAGAGGCAGATACAACACTGAAGATGGTTTCTGAAAGTAATATGTTCCCACTTGGAGTTACAACCCTCCTTTCACATAAATCTCCTTTCTTGGGAACAGCTATCCTTTATAGCTTATCCACAACTGACGGTATCTGTCCTTGCACGGGAAAAAGTTGATCCTAGCAAAGAGGAGGCATCTGTTCCACATTCTCATTCCAGCTTTAAGGGTGATACGGCAGAGTCACCTGCTGAGAGAAGCATTCATTAGTGTGGTATCAAAGCTCTTCTAATTATTTCAAAAGATACTCACTTAGCAATGAAACTGCAAAACTATGGAGATTGTATTAACCAACCTTCTATAAATAAATGAGCAAATAATATGCTCCTTCCTGATTGTCTGCTTCATATTTAATAGCATCGATTGACATCAGTGTTTTTCTTGCTTTTGGCAGAAATGGCATTTTCCATCCAGTTGGTGCTAGAGTAACACTGGGATTTCTAGGAATTGTAGATAAATGGGTCTGGTGGGTCATGAGTAGACATTGGGAAAGTTTTGTTTTGTACTCTTGGGATTCCAATTTCCCAGCCATCATGATTATTGGCCATGCTAGCTGGGAAATTTTAGGAGCTGTGGAAATAAAAAGTCAGCTCTAGATCAGTGGTTACCAACCTTGGGTCCCCAGATGTTTTTGGACTAAAATTCCCAGAAGCTTTCTTTCACCAGCAGCTGCACTGGCCAAGATTTCTATAAGTTGTAGTCCAGGAACATGAGAGGACTGCTCTAGATCGAAGTCAAACACATCTGTGCCTGACCACCAAAATTCTTGCCAGCCCTAGTGCAGTGGCTGTGAGTGAGTGCAAATCAGGATGTCTCTAATTTGAATGTCATGCCTGCCATACGTTCACTAAGTGGCCCATTGCTCTCCAACTGCCCCCCCCACCGCAGCACACATTTAAGGAGATGGTTGGAGGGAAATAATAGTAGATTGTTTTACAGGCTTATTGTAAGGATTCGAAATATACA